GTAAAAACCTCAGATTTCATGTACAAAAATACGGTTCAAGGCCTTTGCATGCAGGAGAATCCTAAAATATATAGACACAAATAAAATAATGCCAGAAGTTTTCAACATTTTAAATACATTTTAGATTCTGCTGCCTTTCATTAAAGCAGTGTGAACTCCCAAAGGATTTGGGAAACCTCAAAAAAGGTGTGGACTGCTTTCATTTAATAAAAAATAAAAGTTGTATTCATGAAATCCACCTTACTTTAAAACAGTGCAGTTTTTTCTTTCTTTACAAGAAGTCATCATTTGGACCATACCCTTATGGGGTTCGTATACTTTTGGTTGCTTGGAGAGTGTCCTACTGAGATGGTTTTTCACAGCATAACTTGGAAGCAATCAAATAGCAGTCTTGGTCTTCTGACTAGCTCATAAGACCAGCATTTTTTTTTTTTTAATTAATGTGAACAGCTAATTTTAACAACAGTCTCTTCCCCCATCTTTCTGCCTCATGGTCCATACATTTTTTGCATGCATACACCTGTCTTCACAACTGCTTGTTCTCTCATTTCCTGCCCTATCAGTACATTAGACCAGGCCTGACAGCAAGATTCCAGCCTCTTGCCACAACTGAAACCCTGAAATCTGCCTGGAGAAAACCTGCTAATGTAAGGCTGCTTCTTTTTCTTTTTTTCTTTTTTTTTTTAATGATTTCAATTCAGATCTTAAATCAGCATTTAAAAAGATGGTAAGGCTGCCAAATACTGAAGGTAGCAAACAACTCAGATTTTTCTGAAAGCATCTTGTGGCAGCTGCAAGTTCGTGTTACATTTACTTAGAACAGCAATTGCCTTTGGAAATAAGATTTTCCTGCTTGTTCAAAAGATTTGTGATGAGTAACTATAAAAATTCAAAATTTAACTCGCTAAGTGCCAGTGTTAGCAAGCAGAGGTAGAAGATGTGTCTGGTAAAAATTAAGCAGAAATGGAAATCAACCATCAGATAATGCAGGTCATTTCTTTGATAGTACCCTCTGATACCCCTCAGAGCATGTATGCTCACAGTGGTTCTAAATATCTCTAAACAGTACAGTTTGCAAACTCTTCCCCATTACAAGAGATCTCTCTCAGGAACAAGTACATCTTGCTATCCAATCTAGATTTTAATTTCGGTCTTTTCATCCTTCTTGTTATATTCCCCAGGTACTCCTCCTTATTGGTATTTTCGGTTAGTTCTTCTTTAGTCAAACCCTAAATATTTCAATTTTTCTTTCAGTGACACGACAATTTTCCACCATCCTTTCTGTAAGGAGATTTGATTTGCCAAATTATTTTGTTATTTTGGTAATAGGTCACCTAATAGATCTGGTGCCAGAAGGTGTCCATGAACCATTTATCTTTCAATATTGTCTGTAAAAGACGAATTTTCAGACGTGGATTATTGGAACAATGAGCCAAAGGGCCCCTGGGACACAGTAACCAGCACTTGGAAGACAGAAAGGCAATCAAGGGTGGCTGGATTTCAAGGGAATGTGACAGGCATTTAAAATCAATTGATATTTTCTGTTACTGTTTGCTAGGAGTGTTTTTTCTCCTCTCACTGGCTTTTTGTTGCATTTTTTTCCTCCCATGCTGCAGCACCCACACAACACTCAGAGACTTAAGTGAAGACTGGGATGTCACTCCCTGCTCCCATGGAAAGGAGGGTAACGCATTCCAAACAGACTAAGCACTGTGCACCACTCTTCCAGGAGCAATTCCATCAAAAAAACGTATTAGTAACTTCTCCAGACGTGGCCAGACTGATTAAAGAAAACATGGTTCCTACATTTTACTCACAGAGCACTACTTAAATGGCAATGCAGTATCTGCAGCATCCTTACATTTTTCATTAGGTATCACTACGCCACACGAGATAAGTTACAGCACATCCTTACTGCAGCACTACTCATAGCCCTATAACCAGCTTAGGGCTCAGCACTGAGACATACAGACAGATGAGAGGAAGCACAAGTCCAAAGAGTGGAATGCAGCTTGCTTAATTATAGATGTCTACCATATGACATAAGTACCTGACAGCTAGGTACTAGGTACCCATGACTGTCACTGGAGACCTAGTCAATACAGCTCGTGTAGTTTAGGGTACAATTCATTTCAACAAGGGTAGGGTGAGGCAAATTATACTCGAAATACTACCAGCACTAACAAGTGCATCTACACTAATTCACACACAGGTGTCTTCCAAAACAGTGAGGCAACACTGAATATTTTGGATTAAAAAGTAACATGCCTCACAAACGGATAAATATCAACCCCCAAAAGGTTAACACTGAAGGTAGAAGAAAATAAGACTTATCTTATTGAGACCATCTGCTGTAGCAATCAAAGCAGTTAGAATCCATTTGCTTGCAGGAGTCCATAGAGAATATCATGAACCAATTTGAGTCAAAATAAATTAGTTTATTTTGTTCTGCACGGCCAAAACCCATCCCACTTAGTTTTACCTACCTAAATAAAGAGCACAGCCTGTTCTAGGCTTTTCTCCATAAACAAAACAAAGAGAGGTTGCTCCAAAGGGACACTCAATACCACCTAAGGTCTTATTTGTCCTTTAAATGTGTTTATCTCTTGTTAGTGACTATAAAGAAAACCAGGCTACTACCACCCTCTTGGTATATCAGCTTCAAATAGACTCCAGTGACTCTCAGTAAAGAAAGTATGAACAATTTGGGGTTCTACTTGCAGGGCTTTCCTCCTTCAAAACCCACAAATGTGACAGTTATGATAAGCAAGAAAATAGTTCACACTTACAGCAGGATTTACTGTGGTCCCATTATTGAAACCCACTCCTATTTATTCTTCCTAAGGGGTATCAACAATTGCATCTCAGGATCCCTGCTGTGAGAAGCAAATTTTTTCTTCTACTGTGACACAACACCAATTCTGAACTGTACAGTATTCCAGCAGATTGTGTTCAATATTTCAAGGAGTCCAGTGCAGTGTTTTTCTCATTCATTACTAGCAATCAAGTCATTTGAAAGGAAATGAGAGATGAAGAGCTAAACATTCATTTGGAGAGAGATAATCAAAAGAATAAAAGTCTTGTCTCAGATTTTGCATATGATTTTTCAGCACTAGGGAACATATAATTGATGCATTATTGATACATCTAACTAATATCAAACTAATATCAAAAATAATATCAGAATAACAAATAATATCTAATACTAACACCAGAAATAACATAAATTTAGACACAAGTTTATCATATAAATTATATTATAAAATAACATAAATTAACTTTAGAAAGTTAATTACCAATGGAATATTACTCTGAAGAATAGGTGATATTAACCCTTTTTATAAAGCAACAAAAACCTGACAGACATGCGTTAGCTTGTTAACATTGGCAATGCAAAATACAGTATTACTGCACAATGCATGGGACATGCTATTCTAAAAGACAACTATCTATTTTGACAGATGACTGCATTATGAAAGGCTGATAATACTGACATCTGAGGAACACCAATAAGGACAGATGAATCAAATGGTATGAGTATGTTCCCTGTTGATACCACTCAAGCTGTTGATAACTCTCAAGCCCTATTCTACAGTGACAAAAATGAAACAGAAAAACGCAAAGAAATAGAGAAATCCTTAAGTAGAAATGCCATAAGATTAATAGAAAGTGAGGCACACAAATAAAACCATGTTTTCAAGAACAAGTAAGTGGATACTCTGCAGAGTCACAGATTTAATGCCCTAATTCTAGATCACGCAACCAAACACTTCTTTCATACTCCATGTCTACTTCAACCTGCTGGAGTGTTGGACCTCTGAGCAAACAGGTTTTAAAAAAATAATCTGACTAACCGACTACTGCTACTTCCAAATTAGCAGCCAAAGTGTGTTCATAACACATTCAAAACAAACAAGCCTACGCATTACCCAGAAAATTTTCCCATGTTAACAATTCCAGATTCCAAACCAAATATGGAACACCTAAACCCAAACTATGGTTATCAAAAAGTAACACTTTAAACAACTTATGCTCTATACGAAACCTAAAGTATTTTCTCAGCGTATGAAAGTCATCAGGATTGCAGTCACGCAAGCACATACCCCATTTCAGTAAATTTACCCAGGATCATTCTACAAAAGGAAACTTGATCTGAGCTACCATTGTAGCTCTTAAGTTAACAGAATGGTAGCTTACTTAAGATTTATAAGAAATTTTCTTTTTGTCAGAACTATACAGCACTTTTCCATACTACATAAGAAATATTTTGCAGGCTAAATAAAAGATATTTACATTATTTCATTAAACTATAAAAAGACTCAATTTTAAAGCTAACGGATACACCGACCCCACAATAAAACAATGCCATAGCAAATGGCATTGCATAGATTGCTTTCCTTCATCTTTTATATTGCCTCCAACATACTTCAGAATAACATATTTTATCATGGTGAAAGAATGCTCCTTAATATTGCTTTTAGTGTACCTTTCTCTAATTCATTTTTCCCCAGCACTTGAGAAAATTCTCTTTTTTTTTCATTTAAGCAAGGCAATAGGAAGTAAGAACAACCACCTGCAAAGAATCAAACTGTGAAAGAATCAAAACTGTGAAGAATCAAAATATGAAAATAGAAAAAAATGTACTAAAAGATTGTTGTACGGCAGCTGCTTTATGCTTAGTGTGATAAAACTTGAAAGGTATGCACAATTATTTTAGCTAGCTTTGGTAATCTTGAAAGACTAGCTAAAGTCATATCACAGCTATTCACAAAAAGTTACAAAATTAAAGTTATTAGTTTTTTGTCAAATATTTTATACTAACAAGCTTAAATGCTTTCACCGAGCAGAATACAACTTTCAAGCTCTCAAATGCTGTAGTTTTAAATACCTCCTTTTCTGAAAACTCCAAGCCTTCTGAAACATACCTCTAAGTTCAAAGGAGGCATGGGATCCTTTTACACATAGAGAAGGGATTTTTGCAAACAATTCCAAATCCTTACCTTTCTGTAGACTATCATATTTGGAGAACTCTCCTCTGGGTCAGCAGTTTCCGCACTACTCGGATCAGCGGGCACTTGGGCCATGTTTGCCTCCTGTCGCTCAAACTGCAAGGACAGGAGCAAAAGTCAGCATCGCTTCAGGCTGCACTGGAGCATGGCAAGGACACCTCCAAGGTAGGCAGACAGAGGTAATCACACTCCAGACTTCAACCCATGCAGGAATTTATCACACTGTGTCAGAACTGTCTTGTCTACTGGATAATGCCCCAAGAACGAGGACCACCAAGTCACATACAGCTGTGGTTTGGGTCATCACACACACATTTCTTTCCTCATTTTGATCTTTTATCATACAGTGAAAGTCCAATTAATACTTCACACACTTCCTTTCCTTGCTATGTAGCACAAGCAGCTTTGACTTTTCTAGAATCTTTGAAGTACCTGCAGACAAAAAGCCAAGAAGGATAAAGAGCTTGCTGTGATGCAGAGTAAACCCCACTGCAGCTGGGGGGTGCAGCAGACTGTCAGTCACACTGCCGACTGTCGCCTGCAGACACTTCAAGTCATTTACGGCTCTCTGCAACCCCAGAGCAGCAGCCAGGAACCAGGGAGGCACGGCTGCTTGCTCAGAGTAAGCAGTGTCTCTCATCTCTTCTCATGACACAGCTGGGAACAGGCAGCAGGACAGGCAGACTACCACACGTAATACTCCTTATCTTCTAAAAGCACAGAACTGCTGCCTCATCTCCTCCAGGTCAGGCCAGGCTTGAGGCAACAGCATCAGTTTGAATAAAGGAAAAAAGGGGCCTGGTGCAGGGAAGGCACTTCAAATTCTAAGTCAAATGTTATATTTTAAATTTTATTTCCACCAGAATATTTGACAAGTTCCATCTCAAATTAAAGGCTACTGTGGAGCTGTTTGGTGACCTCTCCTACCCTTAGAAGTAACATTGCCTCGTACAGACACTGGCACTAAAACTGCCTGACAAGTTCAATTTCTTTAACGTTGAAAGTACTGAAACGTCCCATCTCAACATATTTTATTCAAAACTAAGACAAAAAAAGCACCTATGTTCACACAAGCATAATCTACACATTCATTTCTAAAACACAGTTCACCACTAAACTGTCTCTCTTACTTATGGAAGATACTTTCCTATTCCTTCCTCTACCCACTTTCACATTGCCACAGGCGACAAAGTGCCCCGGTATATAATATACATACATAGCATACAATTATATGTATAGTACAGCCCTGAGCTATTCTAGCTGTCAGTTATCAGCTCCCAAGGACAAGTCAAGAGCCAGAATCAGAAAAGCTCAGACTGCATCCAGCTCTGTCCTATCTCCGCAGTGAAAAGGCTACAGTTGTAATGTGGCATCCTCCACTGAAGCCAGAGCAGCTGAGATACCCCTTTAAGCAAGACATAAAAGACACCAAAGTTTAATAATCTACATCAATCCAGATTCCTTCATTTCCTATATAAAGTACGAGTGCACACACACACACGAGTGGGCACAAATGCATTTGTACATGCACATACCAATTTTGAAATTAAGTAATACAGTTCAAGCTCAAATTAAATAATATATATACAAATCACCTTTTCAAGGCATATTCAGACCAATTTAGATGCTGCTTTATATTTAAAGGAAATAAATTTATTTTTACCCCTATTAAACCTCATGGCTTCCTAGAAGCCCAAACACTATACTGCTGTGCCAGGTCATGAGCTAAAAAGGAAACATAATAAATTCTCTAAGCAAGATTATTAGATGCAAAAACAATCAAATAGCACAAATGTTGAAGCGTAAAGCATTTTCAAACTATAGCACTTTGAATTATTTACACTAATGTGCATTTTCACAACACTGCTTAGTCATGATTTCAAGACACTGAAGAATTAGGCTCGAGGTTATCATCACTCAGTTGAATGGATCAAGAACAGGGTAGAGATTTTATGTAACTTTTTGAAGGAAATTACAAAGCAGAGTTGAAAGCGTATGTCAAGTCACCTGAGTTTCAGCTTCACCTCCAATATATAAAGACCACATTCACCGCTTACATTATATGTGAGATTTTATAAGCATACTTTAAAAGAAAATTACAATTAACTTTCAATTGAGCAATGATCTTTAAAGAACAAAATTACAATTTCTAATCGAAAAGCCCTCTGCAGCATTACTTAGCTGCGCTTCACTCACTGCATTATTCACTTTGAACGTCCACATTTACAAATTCTGTTCTCTTGTTATACTGTCAGCTCACTTGATCTTTTCTGATACTTCAGGATTTTCCCCCATAGCAATTCTTGAAGCTTTTCATCTACTCTAGTGCAACAAGACAATAACATCTTGTACAAGTGCAGTAGTAGCTTGCATGCTGTTCATGGTGACATTGAAGGAGCCACCGATTGTCTTTGAAGGTTTACATAAGGTAATCAATACAAATGGACCAACCTGTTGTTGGAAGATAGAAATTTGCAAAAGTGATTCCCACTAGTGCCCAGCATCTCCTACTGGATTTCAGACAGGAGCAGCAGGAGTTGCTTTGCAGGAGTGACAGCAAGATGGACATCTCAGAGAACAAGGCTGGAGACAAGGTAGGACTGAGGTGCACCTTGGAGCAGGGACAAGTGTGGACAATCCCTCCACATAGCCCAGGCATTGCTGCTGCTGAGATGGGCCTTAGCAGGCCAAGCCAGGGCCTTTGAGGAATTGTGACGGCTCTGACCATTGTCCAAGTTTTTTTCTCTTTCTTATAGATTTAAAAAAACAAACAAACAAACAAACAAAAAACCAAAACAAACAAAACCACATAATAATTTCTCAGATGGTATTCTACAGGAAAAAAAGACTACAGATAAAATAAGACAGTGATATGACAAGGGCATGTTCTTGGCTCTTCAAGGTGAAAGCACAGCAATGCTGGGTCCCAAGGATCCCATTACACCTGTACTTTTTAACATACAGGAGTTGAGTGGAGCTCAGCACCCAGTGATGCAGGACTGCTTCACACAACCGCAGAATGGTTGGTGTTGGAAGAGAGTATTGGAGGTCATCTAGTCCAATGTCCTGGCTCAAGCAGGGTCCCCTAGAGCACATTACTCACAACTGTGTACAGATGGCTTCTGAGTATCTCCAGAAAAGGAGACTCCACAACTGCTCTAGGCAACTGTTCCAGTACAGTCACCTGCATAATAAAGAAGTTCTTCCTCATATTCAGGTGGAATTTCCTGTGGTTCAGCTTCTACCCATTGCCTCTTGTCCTACTGCTTGGCACCACTGAGAAGAGCCTGGCTCTGTCCTTGTGACACCCTCCCTTCAGATACTTAGACACTGATGAGATATCCCCTCCTCAGTCATCTCTTTTTGAGACGGAATAGGCCCAGCTCCTTCAGCCTTTCCTCTAAGACTGATGGTCCAGTCCCGCAATCATCTTCGTAGCCCTTCACTGGACTTGCTCCAGAAGCTCCACATCTCTTGTACTGAGGAGACCAGAACTGGACACAGGATCCCAGATGTGGCCTCACCAGGGGTGAATACAGTGGCAGGATCACATCCCTCGACCAGCTGGCAACGCTCTTCCTAACGCAGCCCAGGATTCCACTGGCCTTCTTGGCCACAGTGCTGGCTCATAGACAGCTTGTTGTCCACCAGGACCCTCAGGTCCTTCTCCACAGCACTGCTCTCCAGCAGGTCAGACCCCAGCCTGTACTGGTGCATCGGGTTATTCTTCCCCAGGAGCAGGACCCCACACTTTGTTGAATTTCAAAAGGTTCCTCTCTCCCCATCCCTCCAACAAGTCGAGATCTTTCTGCAGAGCTACACAGCATTCTGGGGAATCAGCCACTCCTCCCAGTTTTGCATCATCAGCGAACTTGCTGGAGTCACTCTGTCCTTTCATCCAAGTCATTGATGAGCAAGTTAAACAATACTGGGCCCAGTCTTGATCCTTGGGGGACACCACTAGTGACAGGCTTCCAATCAGACTGTGCCAGTGATCACAATTCCCTGAGACCTGCCATTCAGCCAGTTCTTAAACCACCTCACTGTCCACACGCCCAGTCCACACTTCCTGAGCTTGCCTGTGAGAATGTCATGGGAGACAGCGTCAAAAGCCTTATTAAAGTCCAGGTAGACAACATCCACTCCTCTCCCCTCACTTATCCAGACAGTTGTCCCATTGTAGAAGGCAATCAGATTGGTTAAGCATGATTTCCCTTTGGTGAATCCATGTTGACTATTCTAGATCACCTTCTTGTCTTTCACATGCTTAGAGATAGCCTCCAAGTTAAGCCATTTTATCACTTTTGTGGAGACTGAGGTGAAGCTGACTGGCCTGTAGTTCCCTGGGTCCTCCTTCTTGCCCTTTTTGAAGACTGGGGTGACATTTGCTTTCTCCCAGTCCTTGGACACTTCTCTTGACTGCCATGACATTTCAAACATGATTGAGAGTGGCCTAGCAATGCTATCTGCCAGTTTCCTCAACACTCATGTGTGCATCCCATCAGGGCCCACAGACTTGTGGATGTCAAGTTGGACTAAATGGTCTCTAAACCAATCCTCCTCAATCAAGGGAAAGTCTTCCTTCCTCCACACCTTCTCCCTAGGGTTGGTAATTCACCAGTCTTGAGTGTGGAGGAAGTGATCCTTGAATACTGGCCATCTCTCTTGGACCCCTCTTCCCATTAGCACATTCCAACAGGATTCTTCCAAGAAGGCCCCTGAAGAGGCCAAAATTAGCTCCCCTAAAGTCCAGAGCTGCAATCTTACTCATTGTTCTGCTTCCTCCTAGCAGGATACTGAACTCCACAATTTTGTGGTCACTACAGCCAAGGTTGCCCAAAATCTTCACATCTCCAACCAGACTTTCCTTCTTAGTTAGTATAAGGTCCAACAGCACACCTTTCCTCATTGGTTCATCCACCACCTGTATCAGAAAGTTACAGTCAATGCTTTCCAAGAACCTCCTGGATTGCTTTCCTGTACTCCTGCCATACTAAAGTCTGATCTCAAGCCAATTCTCAAATGGGGCATTCTCACTAGCCTGAGGATTGTGGCACTGACTTAACACCCAATGAACACAAACAAACCACTGGCTA